CCTTGAGGAAGCCATGTAGTATTTCTGCACGGAATTAATTAATGGTCAATTTTCATTTGATCACAACTCAGGGTAGTAGACAAACAAGAAAGAAAAGATGCAACGTATTAATGAACGATTTATAGTCCTTTGTCACTGTGTCTATTCCTCCACCTTGGAATAATTTGTTCCCCAAAAAGTATGATGAATTGATATTTCTCAAATAACTGGACTTCTTTCATTACTTCATTTTTGGCTTAATAACACAAGTTTTTTCTATTTCTTTTTAGAAAGCAGTTTTAAAGATTAAAAAGGCAAGCAGATCTCAAATTACCTGCATCCACAAACAAATAATAGCCATCGGGACTACTAGGAACAAAATTTGCCATGTAACATCTGTCATTACAACAACAATGCCAATAAGTTGTATTGTTGATGAAGCAAACCCTCCAAGTCTAAAAGGAATGTCAAGATCTACAACACTTTGATCAATTGAAACCTGATGGATACAAATAGTCCATTATATGATGTAAACCACACAGGAAGAGCCAGATAACATAAACACAAGGCGAAGGGGAAAACGATAGAACTTACACGATTCAAGATCCTTCCAGCTGGTGTAGAGTCAAAGAAAGACATTGGTGCATGGAAAATGCTTCTAAGCATGTTGAGAAAAAGTTTCTGTGCAGCTGCTAGACCAAATGTAGCCACGAGAACAGCCCTTACAAAAATGAACCATGAGCTCCCAAATGCAAGGGCCATGTACACAAGAAGAAGAACTGTGGGTGTTACTTTGGGCTGGTCTCCCTCAGTTTGAGGATTTGCCCAAGCCATCCACCAATTACTAGCAATCTGGAGGAACTGAAATAATGTTTGTGCTATTATTATGAGTGGAATCAATAAACCTTTATATGCTGCAGCCATGTATGACCAGTAGACCATCATGCTGACTCTACCTCTAACCCTCTCCTCTTCCTGAACAAGCTGTTTTTTCCTTGAGCGTTTTGCTTTCTTCTTCTCCTTAATTGCTTTCGGATCCGATGATCCCTCTTGGACCTCCTTAGCCAAACTGTTAATATCATTTGTAGAAGAAATGGATGTCTTATTGGTCATAATAGATTCATCCAAAGGTAGATTTTCATCTGAATCTTCTGAGTGATTAGGAATATCCATGGCCTCTATTGCTTCATGGTGAGCCGAAACTAGAGTTTTAAAATCTGTTCCTGCTTGTAAAAGATCATCATATTTTCCTGCCTCTATGATATGGCCTTCTTTAAGAACCTTCAAAATTGAAAAAATAAAGTGAGAAAATTATTTTGGTTTATACCAACCAAATAATCATACCCAAAGAGAACTAACAGAGAATTCTTGATCATTATAAACAAAGAAAAATTACACAAGTTGGCAAATAAAGGGAAACTTGGGATACATGATGTACCACACAAGGAAAGGAAAACTTTTTTAAAGTACGGGCAAAACATTCAATTACCACAATGAACAATACATTGTAGTAACTCAGTAGGAAGCTGCAATAAAACAGAACAATATCAGGGGAGGGAGGCAAGAGTTCCATTATCAAATAAGCAGCTTCACTCCATTGTGTGCACAGATCAATTTCCTAGATATAAAAGTAATAACTTCCCTCTCGCCTTGTTTTTGCAGCTTGTCAACATCTCATGTCAATATATAAATACTATAACGTTAAAAAAATTGAATAGTTAACCTTAAAACTGACTGCTGTGTTGTTTTAAGTATGTCTGAAGTAGTAAAGTTTTGGCAGTGTATAGTCAAGTTCTGCCTTTTTAAATATTTAATATAGTAAAGGAAATCAAGAACCATAATTCAAAACAGTTAACGTAGGGAGTATGCAAGATCATAATGCAATATAAAAAGAAAGAATTAAGACCCCAACCGGATATGAGGTAGAAAAGAATGGATCAGACTGAAACAGTAGGAGCAACTCCAACCCTGATTATGCACGGAATACATAACTTTGAAAGGCAAAAAAGTTGAAATGTACTTTAAAACAAAAACACCTGAAATGAAGTATAAACATCATTATTGTAAAAATGCATGAATGTGCAAGACAAAAACATAGGCCAGCCGTACCAGTATCATATCAGCGGCAGGAAGAAATTCAACTTGATGGGTCACAAAAATGACTGTCTTATCTGCTAGTGCTGTCAATACATACTCCTGCAGTTACACGACAGAGATTAAGCCAAATCAAATTCATTTAACTTGTATACCCAAAAATCATTTAAGCAGCATCATTTACTCTAAACTTAAGAAAATTTACCCTAAATAATTCCGATCCAGTGTGGGCATCAACTGCACTGAAGGGATCATCAAGGAGGTAAATATCAGCATCTTGGTAGAGGGCTCGTGCAAGCTGAACCCGCTGCTTCTGGCCACCACTTAAATTTATACCTCTGTCACCAATAATTGTTTGGTCTCCATGTGAGAAAAGTTCTAGATCCTTTTTAAGTGAACAAGCATTAAGAACATTCTTGTACTTTGCTTTGTCCATAGGGGTGCCAAACAGGATATTTTCTTCTATATTTCCTGACTGAATCCAAGCAGATTGGGAGACATATGCAACAGAACCACACACTTTTACCTGCAAAATCGTCCAATTCATCAGGTAAAACGGATATAAACAGCTAGAGTATATCAACTAGACAAATAGCGATGCACAAATAATAAAAAGTTGAAATATTATTCTATTCTTAAGAATAACATACTTCACCAGATATCTTGGGAATCTCTCCAAGGATACAAGAAAGAAAACTTGATTTCCCAGAACCAACCATGCCACAAACGGCCACGGTCATCCCCTTTTCCACTTTCATATGTATTCCTGATAGAGTCGCCCTGGGCAAAGAAGAGTCCCAGCAGAAGACACCATCCCTGATTTCTATGGCCATGTTAGAATTGTCTCGCGGCATGATGATAGTTGCATCTTCCTGCAATTCTTCATCATGAAGGAAAGTAGATAAGCGATCAAGAGACACTTTTGTCTGAGCCATGGTTGATACCAAGTCAGGAAAATTCCTCAGAGGTTCTTGGAGAATTCTGAAAGTAGCTAGAGCAGAGAGAACACCACCTGCAGTCAACTGACCCCCCAACAATATGGAAGTAGCAAAAGTAACAGCTGAAACAAATATAGGGGAGCTCCAGAATATGAAAGTTATGAAAGCCTGAGAGTAGAGTGCTTTCCTTAGCCACTTGAACTCTACTCCACGCATTTCCTCCAACTTCAATCGGTATCTGTCCTCCCATGCTTGCAGCTTGAGAATCCTCATATTCCTAAGACACTCTGACGTCTTTCTCATCCTTTCATCCTTGGCAGTCATCAATTTGTCCTGATAATCTTCTTGTATCCTAGCCACAGGAACCGTGACAATAATGGAAATGATTGTAGCAATCAATGTTGCAACAGAAGCAATTCCGACATTCTTATACAGAATCAAGAGAGCAAGAACAATCTGCATAGGAAGCATCCACATGTCATGAAGGTACCAAGAGAAGTCCCCAACCCTCTGTACATCAACAGCCATGTAGTTGACAATCTCCCCACTTGTGTGACTTTGCTTGGCAGAGCTTGAGAGTTTGAGTCCCTTTCTATATACCATAGCAGTCAGGGCTGATCTAACATGCATACCCAAGATATCCACGCCTAGATACCATTGCCTAGTTGTCACAGTCTCGATAAGCTTCGCCACAAAGAATATACCAGCAAGGGTATATCCCTCATGGGGGAAAGTCTCCTTGCCACCCAAGTAATCCACAAAGTAACTTATCATGTATGGACCTACATATGACACCAAAGTATTCAAACCAGCAAAGATAGCATTCAGAGCTGCCTCCTTCCAGAATGACTTGAGAATCGCCCAAACCAATGAAGGCTGCTGAGAGGGACTGTCATTTTCAGCCTTCAATTTCTCCCAATTAGAATTCAAAATCTTATAACTAGTCTTGGCTCTGTCTCTTGGTGCAACAAGTGGAATGTCCTTAAGCTCAAGTGGTCTCTTCGCGCCAATGGAAAGAAGTGGATTCAGCCAAGAAAGTGTAACCAAACTAAAAAGTCCTGCATCTCTATAAGGAGTAACCGTGAGACACCCCGGTTCGTCTTCAACAATCAATGGCTCGTGAAGATCAGAGTTCACACAAACTTTTATACCAGTACCACCCCTAATTGCAACCACAAACAAAAATGCAAGAGGTGGTGTGATAGCAACATTCGAAACAGCACGAGAACATAGATGTTCAGAACCATCCTCCCAAAATCCTCTACCATCAACATATAAAGTACACAGGCAAATAACAAAGGACAAAAACCACCAAACTCTCAACAAAAACGGAAACCTCTCTGAGACCTTGAACTTGCAATGCAAGGCTGACAAGCTCAACACAGACCAAGCCAAACCCTGAGCAGCAGGCACAGAGAGAAGGGACAAATTCACGTCAGCCTCACCCCAAATCAAAGCACCCCCTTCAAAACCAAAGGCCAAAACATGCACGAACAAAACATAGAAACAAGACAACACTGACAGCTTGAACACCAAACCGATTCTAACACCACGCGTTTCTTCATCAATGACACTACAAATTGGGCTAGCATTGCCACTGTTCCCATCCTTACCAAATCTAAATCTACCCTCGCACACAAGAGCACGCCTCACCGAAACAACAAAGAGAAACAAAAGAACAAGAGTCAGGTTCACGCATATAGTCGTAACTTCCAACACGGGCAATCCGAGGACATCATGGAAAAAACGTGCGACACCCATTACTGAGAAAAGCGTGTTAATGAAGAAGAAACAGATTTAGAATAACCGCAAGTCGGAGAGAAGAGAATGGGCATCTCAGAATACAGAAAATGAGGAGAACCAAACGCACGTGAAAACGAAAGAGAAAAAGGAGGTTTATTTCAACAACACAGAAAACGAAGAAAAGGATGTTGCCATTGTAGTGGGCTAGCCCTGAAAAACAAATTTGAAGACAAAAAAAGACACCCAATGGGGAAATATACAGCATTCCCCACCCGGGTGGTTTCTGAAATCGAAGGTGACGTGATGCACTTGTTTGTTCAACCCCAATTGCGAAACAGAGAGAAGCTGAAACGACAATCACTAACGACTACGAATGATGGTGGCAGTAGGCTAAGCGTCGCAGTATATGCTATAACAACGAAGAGAGAGATTCTCTCTATTTGTATGTAATTTTTAATAATGTTCTTGTTTCTTTCTTACAAATTAATTAATAACTACGGTTCCGTGTGCTGTTTAACAGCGAGTTAGTTCCGTGTAGGAATCAGAAACCTTGTAGCAGATTCTCCAGAAATGGGTGCTTTCGGTGTGGACGGAGCCAAAAAGGTCAATTGAAATGACTTATCATTACAGTTACTTCATTCTGTGATCTGCTTCAATGAATTTCGCAATGGAAACCCTTGAACCATTTTTTTGGCAAGAAGAATTCCAATTAATTCACATTCACTACATAGATATTATTATTACTTCTTTAACTATTTATTATCTTTACACTGCATCATTAATGCACACTATTTAAATATAAGATCTTGTTTAAGAAACTGTAGATATCATTTAAGGTAACTAAGTTTAATATCAGACCAAACATGTTGGTGGTTATTAGTATGATTATTAGGGAAATGTTTTCAATTGATTTTATCAAGTTGGTTAATGTAGGGTGGAGAAATATTTCAAGATTTGTTGTATATATGTGTGAATGCGTGTGAAAATGTGTGCTGGTTGATGGTGATTTACTGTTGCATTCACTAGGAAAAAGAATGTGCAGAGTTGGTAGGCAAGAGAGATTTTGTTTGTTTGTGCTTTACAGTGTGATGATGCGTAGAAGAGTGGTGGAGGATGCAGATAATGGTGTGTGATGGTGGTGAGTGAGTGTGATGGCATGATGGTGTGTTTTTTAATGTAGGATTTGAGGCACACCAAACATGTTTGGTAAAGAGGAGCACTGAGAAATGAGAACCACATCTTGAACCAATTCTGCATCATATAAGTTAGAGGAAAAAACAGTATTGTTGACCTATCTGTGTTGATGAAAAATGAAAAGAAAGAGTGGTGGATGAATTGTCAGCTACACCACCTTTTTCTTTCTTTCTGATTTCAGTTCTTTGGTTGGTTGTTTGTGAAAAGATTAAGCAGAACATGAATATGAAAGCACCCATCGAATATTAAAAGAAGAAATCTGGCTTTTATAGGAAAAAAGTAGCGACGGAAAGTTGAGCTATGAGAACCTTCACTTTTTAAGATCAAAATAAAATACTTAGTATCAAAGTTTTACCAAATTTGCTCGAAAAATTTGTTTGAGGCTTCAATTCCATCCCCTGTTTTTTTTTTTTTTTTTTCCTTTTTCCAATGACTTTGGATTCTAATCGTGTTTAACCGTTTGGTAATTAAATGAGTCCAAAACAGCTCATGTGATTTTATGAAAGAATCAAACATTTTTCACAGGTGTTCTTCCCTTTGATGAATCTTTGAATTGTTTATTCTTGATCATGAATGCAGTTTCTAAAAATAACAATTCCATATTTAATATTTTTCATATATTGTATAAATAAAAGTATATATATATATATATATATATATATATATATATATATATATATATTTGAATTTCATTGATATAATATTCCCTTAATTATTTAATTATATATATTTAATCCCTCGACCATATTATTTGAAATTTCAAAATTTATATTTTTTTTACATAAAAACGCACACAATATTCGAAAATATGTTCACACTATGATTAAAACTTTTGACCTGAAACTTCATCAATTTAGTAATATTGAAACATACTTTAGTGTTGTGCATCACTGTTGTCCCAAAAACAATATTAGGAAAAAAAATGCAATTAAGAATCTTTGCATCGTCATGCACCAATAAATATGTTTAATGTTACATTGAATTAAGCAACTTATTCTTTATGTTAGTGGTAGATCTACTTTGGAAATTAGATAACTATTTTATTTTATTTTAAAGTTATAAGAATTTTTTATATAAACTTACTCCCACTTAATAATAATATTTTTGTTTAAGTCATATCAAGTGGTTTATTAAAAGGTTAAGATATATTTTATTGGTTCTTTTAGCTTTTGATGGAAGAGATAATTTAAAAAAGTGGAAAATGAGAGAAAAGAATGAAAAATATGATCTTTTAAATTGCGAAAAAAAAAAGGCGAGTGAGTGAAAATAAATGAGTGAGACAATAATAAAAGATAAAATTATTTTAATTTATTAAAAAATTGTAAATAATATGGCAGAATGGTGAAAATAATATTGTTATAATTATAATAAGAATAAATTTAAATTAAATTGGAACATGATTTAATATCAAATAAAATCAATTAACATATAAAATATAAAAATTTATGATATTTTGTAGATATATTTAAATTTTTATTTTATTTTGTTAATAATTTAAAAACAATATTAAAATTATAGAAATTTGGTTAAAAGAATTATAAACATGTTAATGAAATTTTTGAGCTAATAAACTTATTCTTAAAGAAGTATTAAACTCTTCTCATATCCCACAATTACTTAAATCTCATATTAATTGTTTTTTCTGTGGAGCTAACCTATTCACCTTCAATACTTCAATTATACAATTGGAAAGTGAAAGCTCGTAAAATCATATAATCATCGCTTTCTTTGTATTGCACTACCAATTTTTTATTTTTTTCATAATAAAACTCTTCTCTAACCATGGTTTCTCTTAATAAAAAACACATGAAAAATTTTCCCAACTCATAACCTCATCGCATATGAGTGAATATGTTAGAGGGGCAAGAGACCATATATTTTTTATTTTATATGTAACAAGATTACCACTAATAAATATAAAGTACTTTGATGTTAATAATCTATCTTCCAATGATCCAGCTCAATCAACATTAGTATATATATATATTGATTTGTTTATCATTTGTATTCTTAATGAACAATAATACAAGATTATGCATTCATATGTTGCTCTCCAGGATTATGCATAAATAGAGCTAACAATATTTAATGTGTAGGCAATATGTGGTCTTGTGTGTTAAGTATATACATTAATTTTCTTAGAAGTCTTTTATACTTTAATTTATCAATTGGGACTTGATCTAATATAATAGAGAATTTCAAACCTTCCTGCATTGGTGTATTCACTAGTTGACATACATGGTTCTTGTAACAAGTCTAAGGCATGCTCATAGTCTGGATAATGTTGAGACTAATGCTAAAAAGATGAGCAACATGGTGATGTTGATGATCAACAAGTTGGAGATGGTGTAGAGGCTCTTATTGATGATGCTCAAGAGGAATATGATGATATACCTAAATTACCGCAAGTCCCTTTTAAGAGGTCTAATCGGCTGAGAAAATCTTCTTCCAAGTATTTTTCTGATGTAACTTTGACTGGTGATGAAGAACTTGAGTGTTTTGAAGAAGTTTTAGAAAGTGAAGAAATGAAAAAGTGGTTGGATACAATGCAAGATGAGATTAAATCTTTTCATGATAATCACACTTATGACTTGGTAACATTGTCTAAGGGTAAAAAGGCTCTAGAGAATAGGTGGATTTTCAGGGTGAAACAAGAGGATAATTCTACATCTCCAAGGTATAAAGCCAGATTAATATTGAAAGGCTTTAAACAAAAAAAGATGTTGATTTCAATGATATTTTCTCACCTGTGGTGAAAATGTCATCCATTAGAACTGTTATAAGTTTAGTTGCTACCCTTGATTTGGAGGTTGAGCAAATGGATGCGCAGACAACTTTCCTTCATGATAATTTGGAGGAAGAGACTTACATGAAACAATCTGATGATTTTCTTATTAAAGGCAAGGAAGATTATGTGTGTATACTAAGAAAGAGTCTATACAGTTTGAAGCAGACTCTAAGACAATGGTACAAAAAGTTTGAGTTTTTTATGTGTGATCAAGATTATAAAAAGATGATTTATGATCATTGTGTCTTTGTTAAAAATTTCTTTGATGATAACTTTATTACCCTGTTGTTATATGTTGATGACGTATTTATTGTTGGAAAAAATATTTCAAGAATTAATAGGCTAAAAAAGCAATTAGGCGAGTAATTTGTCATGAAAGACATGGGAGTTGCTAAAAAGATTATTGACATAAGTATCTCATGTGATAAAAGTGAAAATAAGATTTGACTATCACAAGAGTACTACATTAAGAAAGTGTTGCATATATTTCAGATGGGAAATACTAAACCAGTGAACACTCTCCTTGTAACTCATTTTAAATTGAGTGTTAAGCAAAGTCCTTCAAATGAAATTGAGAAATCTTATATGAATAGAGTTTCTTATGCATCTATAGTGGATAGTTTGATATATGCAATGGTATGTACTATACTAGATATTGCACATGTTCTTGGTATAATCGGTCAATTTTTGTTCAATCCAAGTAGAGAGCATTGGAATGTTGTAAAATGGATTTTGAGGTTTCTTCATGGTACTAATGATTTGAAACTTTGTTTTGGAGGTGATAATTATGGTTGGAGACATTGATTCCAAAAATTTCATTATGGACTATTTGATTAAGTTTGCAGGGAGAATTATGGCTTGGCAATCAAGATTGCAAAAGTATGTAGTATTATCTACTACAAAAACAAAGTTCATTATCATTACAAAAACATGCAAGAAGTTGTTATGGTTGAAGAAGTTCTTGCAAGAGCTTGGTTTTGTAAAGAACAATTATCCATTATTTGTGGACAGTCAAAGTGTTAGTTATCTTGGTAAGAATCCAACTTTTCATTCTACACCCAAATATATTAATATGAGGTATCATTGGATACGTGATGTTTTGGATACTAAGTTGTTGAAGTTAGATAAAATGCATACAGATGACAATGGGTTGATATGATGACTAAGGCACTTACTGCCAAGACAGAAGTTTGACCCTTGTTGTGAGATCATTGGATTGGTAGTCACCTTCACATAAATATGAGGGGGAGATGTGTTGGTTTGGGTTCTCAACTATATGTCTAAAAATTTCAAATTAGTCAAACTTATTTTATCTCACTTAACCTAATTAGAAAGGAGTATTCTAGATCATAACAGAGAGAGGTAAATTTCGCAGCCTTTTGTAAGTGAAAAAAAAAATACAATTTCGCTTATTTACCGAGTCATCTCAGAAAAATTACGATTATCGTTTCATTCAACCATAGATCTAGCTAAAATTTTGATAGCAAGTTTGCGACATAAGGTTCTTCTTTTCGACAGTTGGAATCGTCAATTTAAGGCCTATGGTTGGAGATATCAGTCTCGCACTGTGACTAAATTTTATGTTTCTCTTTCTTTGTTCTTCAAATTTGATAACATTATT